TTGAGGCAGAGTTTCGCTCTTGTTGCCCAGGGTGGAGTAAAATGGTGTAATCTCGGCTCACTGTAACCTCCACCTCCCAGGTTCAAGCTATTCTCCTGCCTCAGCCAACCAAGTAGCTGGGATTACAGGTATGCAGCACTATGCCCGGATAATCTTGTATTTTCAGTAGAGACAGGGTTTCTCCATGTTGGTCAAGCTGGTCTCGAACTCCAGACCTCAGGTGATCCACCTACTTCGGCTTCCCAAAGTGCTGGGATTACAGGCCTGAGCCACCGCGCCCGGCCCAGCATGGCCTTTCTTAAAGGCTCTTAAAAGAGGGCTCTTGGTCGCTGCTGGGATTACAGGTGTGAGCCACTCCGCCTGGTCTGGTTGACATAATTTGGAATGGTGAAGAGAATAAATGCTTTTTCCCTGCACTCAGGAGTAAGACAAAAGTGTCCTCTCTTGCCACTTCTATTCAATATTTTTGAAATTCTAGTTATAACAAGTAGGTGACAAATTGAGGAAACCTGCAAAAGAAGATCATCTCTATATGCAGATGAGACGATATTGTATAAGGAAAACCCTAAGGAATTCACGGGAACCTGTTAGAACTATTAAGTTCAGAGAGGTTTCAGGATACAATATAAATATATAAAAATCAGTTATGTTTTCTTTCTTTCTTTCTTTTTTTTTTTTTTTGAGACAGAGTCTCACTCTGTCACCTAGACTAGAGAGCAATGGTACCATCTCGGCTCACTGCAACCTCCGCTTCCTGGATTCAGGCAATCCTCCCACCTCAGTCTCCCGAGTGGCTGGGACTATAGGCATGCACCACCACACCCAGCTAATTTCTTATTTTTGTATGTTTTGTAGAGACAGGGTTTCCCATGTCTTGAACTCCTGGACTCAAATGGTCCACCCTCTCTGGCCTCCCAAAGTGTTGGAATGACAGGTGTGAGCCACCACGCCTGGCCACGTTTAATTATTTTAGATTCTTCATGCAAGTGGAATCACGCAGCATCTGTGTTTCTGTGCCCGGCCTGTTTCACAGCATACTGCCCTCAAGGGGCACCCATGTTGTTGCATATGGCAGCAGTCTCTTCTTTTTTAAGGCTGAACAGTATTATGTTGCCTGGATACACCATGCTTTATCCATCATTCATCCATCAATGGACATTTAGGTTGTTTCCCACTAATCTACTTTCTGTTTCTATGGATTTACCTGTTCTGGACATTTTCTATACACTAACAGATTTATTTTCATTTGTTTAAAGCCTTTCTCTCTAAAAAATTTTATAGCATATCTGAGATATAATTCACATATACAATTCACCCATTTAAAGTGTATCTTCATTGTTATTAGTATAATTGCAGGATTGTGCAAACTCCACCATGATGTAAATTTAGGATATTTTCATCACTCCAAAAAGCTTGCTCCCCTGCCCTCCCCTCCCCATCCTTCCCTGCCTCACTTTGCCTCCCACTCTACATGCTTCCCCTGGGTGAGGATGTTTGCTGACTCTTTGGCTTCCACTGACAACTCAGGCACACAGCCCTGGCTTAGGTAGTTCTCCATTTATTTCCTCCCACATGGATCCTGAGCTGTCTCTGGGTCTCACTTTTGGCCAATAGAATGCAGTAGAGGTGATGCTGTGTGACCTCTGGGTAGGTCAGAAGCAGCCTTGCAGATCCTCCTGGGGCTCTTGCTCTGGGGAAGGCACTAGCTACCCTGGGGCCATCGTGTTGTAAGGAAGCCTCTGTAAGCCACATGGGGGCCATGTGAAGAGGACAAGAGTTGATGGGCTCCCAGCCCATCAGTCCCTCCAGGTGCCAGATGCAGGAGTGAAGGAGCCATCTTGGACACAGCCCTGTTGAGTCTTCAGATAATTTTCGGCAGCCTAGCTGCTACCTGAAAGCTGATGCCTGAGCAACACGTGTGAGAACCGCCCAGCTGAGCACAGTCAACCCACAGACAGAGCAACCATCACAAGTCATGTTTTTGGGCTACTGAGTTTTGGGTGCTTTGTTTTCTGGTGGTCAACAGTGGAGGTGCTGCATTGGACTGGGTACATGTACCCCTCGTTCCTGTTGCCAGAGGCCAGGGCTCACTCTGAATCACTACCCTGACTCCCCATATTCATACCCCTCAGCATCCTCACTGCTCTTTCCTGCCTCTCTCTCTGCTCCTCGTCCCCCCAGCCCTGCCTCAGCCTCCTTTCCCTTCTGGCTGGGCATGCACACTACGGCGTGGGTCCTCTCACTTCCAGCCTCTCCCTGCCCATTACAGACGCCACCACGCACCCAGGAGCTTCCAAATCCTACCTGTGGTTCTCACCCGAGACCCCTTTAATGGCCTCAGCATTCAAAAGGGCAGCATGACTGGCACTGGAGCTCCAGGGCTGGCACCTCCCCGCCCTCTCTAGTGTCCCCCTGGGCTGTCCCTGCCCTCTCCACCTTCCCTGCCTCTGCTCCCCAGACACTGGGCTGTGCCCACCCCTCCTCCCCGTGCTTGATGCTCTCCTGCTTTCCCATCCCCACTGGACCAGGCTCCTGGCAGCAGGTGTCGTGCTGGTGTCTCTGTGAAGCCTCCCTGACATCCTGCTGTGCGTTGTCCCCCTGGCACCTCCGTTGTCCCCCTGGCACCTCCGTTGTCCCCCTGGCACCTCCGTTGTGCCCCTAACGACACCCACCACACTCTGCACAGTGTGTTTGTTGCCAGGCCCAGCTCTCACACTGGACGGAGAGCTCCAAGTTGACACCAGGGCACAGCCTCCTCCCCCGCCGAGCCTGCCACGGCGCCTGGCACATGGTCGATCACAAATAAATAACGAGTAAACAGCCCATTACATGTTTACTGCCTAAGCAGATGAATGTAGAGATAAACAAAGACCACCCAGACGAGAGCAAGGCCAGGCTGAGTTCAGAGCTTGGGAGCGCCCCACTCTGAGATCGGCAGGCAGGGGGCGGGGCACAGGTCCGCAGATTAGGGTGGTGGTGGTGTTGTGGGGAAGGCAGGGGCGGCTGATGGAGAGTGAGGTGTCCGGTGGTTGGTGAGAGGACATGTTTGGCGTCCTCTGGTTGGTCCTGAGTTGGAAGTGGGGGCAGAACACAGAGAAATCAAGCCCTGACTGTCCCAGCAATTGGCTGCAGAGGTGGAGCTGCAGCTTCCAGCTTCTTTGTGGTCTGGAGTCAGTAGCCGTGTGGGACTGGCCCCTGTCCAGACGCCTACACTCAGCCTCTCATGCGGGGAGATGAGCGTCTTCCTCCTGGGACCAAAGGAGGGAACAAGAAGGAGAAGGAAGAGGCAGGGCTGCGATTGTGCCCAGGGTGCTGCTGGGCTGCCAGGTCCCTGCTCTGGGTACTTCTCTGCTTTGGGGCGTCTCATCGAGAAGCTGCAGCCTGGCCTGTCTCACCTCTACACAGAGGGGCCGCTGGGGCCTGACGGAAAAAGGTAGGGCCGCTGCATGTCCAAGCAGCTGTCAGCCACCAAGGAAGTTTTCAACAAGGGAGGCCCAATCTCACGAGTCACTCGCACGTCCTGTCCTCTGGGTGTCAACAGGACACGTGCACGACCCAGAGCCCAGGATCGACCCTGCAGCGGAGCCGGCTCTGCCCTTGGTCGGGGTGCCCTGTGGGGATGACTCCACCTGCTGGGTGCCCAGCCCGGCCCTCCTGGGCCCTTGAAACTCAGAAGAGTCAGGACAGGGGTTATAGCACCAGCCCCAGGAGCTTATGCTCAAAACATGAAAGCTGTGGTTTCCCAGATGATTTATGGGATTTATCTGTAATGTCTTTGACAAGATTTAGCATCAAGCTTTTTACTTAGCAGATTGAACTACTATGGAAACAAACTAGATATTGATAATTATAAGAAAAACTGAAGAAGTGTCTGATCCAAGAGATTTTTTTTTTTTTTTTTTTTTT